TAGTTCAACCAAAATGCACCCCAAAAAGGAGTGTTATCGCTGGGTTCATTTTCACTTTGGGATGATGGTATTACCTAAGTGTGAAACTAGTGTGGCTTTGATGAAAACACTTTAGAATTAGGTTTCCCTAAAATGTTTTTATACAGCTCCCAGCTATGGTTTTACTTAAACAGCCTTCCTGTGCTTAGGTCATTAAAAGCCGTCACTGTATTTTGTTTACCAACGCATCCCCTGTGCCTGGTACATTGTAAAGCACGCAGTAATTATTATGGCTGAATGAATGAATGGTCTTGTCTGCAACAAATTAAACCCAGCACTACACCTGGGTCTTAACCTAGCTCAGTGCTTTTTCAACTTCCCTATCTTTTTTTTGTTTTGTTTCTAAGTAATAGGTTTGTCAGTTTTACCTTTTAAATGTTATTTATGGATATGTGAACAGAAATATTCCTTATTATTGATGACAGTGAATACTCACTGTCCAGAGGAAAAAAAATGGATAAATGCATCTTCATCTGCTGGTGTTATTAAGAAATATTAATTAGGAATAGATGAAGAGAAGTAAAATATATGTGTGGTTGACGATGCCATTTTAGATGTGATTTTTTGATCCATAAAAACAAATTATTATTTTGCAAACTAAAGTGGAATATATTAAGGCAGCAATAACAGTCATGAATATAATAGGATTTTTGAATTGGTTATAAATCACTGTTGTTTTATATAAAGTTGCTGAATTTGTGTGTTAAGAAATAAATGTATTTTGTTGATCCAGTGTGTGAGAGCGTACACCCCATAGTAAGTGCTCCGATATATTGGATTTAGCATGCTTAGTTACATTTTAAAATAGTGTGGACAAAGTCTGTTTCTTCCCTGTGACTGTATCCCCTTGAAGGGTAAAAGAGAGGTATGATTTGGAAGAGTTTAAAGGGGGCAGAGGGATGGTAGGTAGTTAAGGAGCACTAGTTTAAGAGGAGACTGAGTTCCAGTCACAATTCTGCTGCTTATTGGCTGCATGACTTGGGTAGATCCCAGAACTTCTCTGAACACATCTGTGGAATGAAAGATTTAGATTAGATGATGTCTGAGTTTCCTTCCAGCTCTAAAACGTCATCCTTCTCAAATCCTTAAGTATCTAAGAAGCCAGAATTGTTGTCAAAACTACAAACATTTCTTTAACATTTTGCACAAGGCGGATGGGTGCCTGGATAGCTAAACAAGGACCCTGCTGTACTAAAGAGCTTACAAATCTAGTCTTTCCCCTTTCTCACGTGAACTTGAAAATTAGGTTCATTAATTTTTTACTAGAGTATATAGAATTTTTACAGGAACTTTTTTAGTAGAATACATATGGTGACATGTCGTTTATGGTAATAAATATTAATAGAATTAGTGAATATATAAATATCTACTGATGCTCGTGTCACAAAAATTCCGTAATTTGTAATTACCCCAACTTGAAGATTATCCTTGAGTGAACTAAGGTTAAGTTCCACGTTCAAGGCAAGCATTGGGATTGGTTTTCAAAACCATCTCCATTATACGTTAGCTAATTTTTAACAGGTTATAAAAATACAAATAATTGACAAGGAGATCAAAACAACTTGTATGAAAGATTGATACTGTGGTGACTTTCTAAATGTTAACTTAAATATGAAGTATGCAGAAAGCATACTTGATTGAATGATTAGAAATAGATTGATAAATCATTGGGGTTTTGAAATGGAGTGATGGCTGCTAAGAGACGTATAAAATATTTTGTTGGTTTATTTCTAAATTTTTTCTTTTTTTTTTCTTTAGGTCCCAGAACAGTTTTTTTCTGGGCTCCAATTATGAAATGGGTAAGTCTTGAGTTTTTGCAGAAGCTAGTGAAGAAAATGTTCTTTAAAAGGAACTTATTAATTTGAAGTAACTTTTATGAAGGATATACTTTTAAATGTTCATGGTATGCCTAGAAATGATTTCATGCAAATACTCTCAGATGTGTCATTTTCACTTCATAAAGCACTTTACCAACTTTAGTTTTTCTGAGATAAGAGGCCTTCTGGGAACATATTTATTATCAAAAACCTTCTAATT